ACCGGGACGATCTACGCTCGCTACCATAGTCCATCGAGCCTTCGACCACGTTCGGCAGTTTGCTGCTTAAATTCTCACCGGTTCCGGTGGACAACGCTTGACAGGTCTCCGCATGCTCGACCAAGTTGGGCAGCCTCGACAACGAGCTACCTGGCGTGTTCTCCGTCAGGTCGAGCTTCAAACCGTTGCTGCTCGTCCTGCGCATTTTCAGGAATTCGCATGATTCGCCCTCGAGCGAGCACCGTGCGACCACCCGCCCCGTGCCGCTCGACTCGACGACCTTCGCTTCAGGGGGAGGAGGGACGATAGTTTCCTTCGCTTTCCTAGACCGATCGCATTTCGATGCTTGTTAGTTGCTTGGGCGAAGCGTGTTAGTCTTTTTTTTTTTTTTTTTTTTTTTGGGATGATAGTTTACAGAGAATCTGGAAAGAAGAGAAAAGAAGAGGGTTAGTAACGGTTAGTTATTAGCAGCGTTTAATCGGAGGAGGGATCGCTCGCGAACGGATTTGTTTCCTTAAATTGGGATATAAATTGTTGGTTGAATTCGATTCGTGTTAGATCGCACGTTAATCGATACAAAAATACAAAGAGCTGTATATATATATATATATAAATCAGCCTCGCATAGGATAATCCGTGATCGAGAATCTTTAATTGGATTCGCGACGCGACGATTGTTGGATCTCAACGGTTCCCTTAGAGAGCGTGCTTATCCCTTATCGACGTGTACGATCTCGATGCACAACGTTCGCGATATTCCGTAAGCGGTGTTCCAGATTACGATTACAGCCGTATGCTCCTCTACGGTCGATACACACGACGACAATGACGACGATAATACTCGATCGTGCGTGACCGAAATGCGGCGTTCGTTGTGGCGGGGGATAAATACGTTGGCCTTGCATTCGCGCGCACTGGCCAAATTTCAAGGAAATTCGAAACGATCCACGGTGTCGAAATCGATCGATCGATGGACGAAAACTTAAAAAAAAATCTGATTCGAATCGAACGGAACTCCTCCCCTCCCTCGTCTCTCTCTCTCGGTTTGCTAATCGAAATTGGAGATAAGAAGAGGCGTTTATCAAGTGGCGGAGAGGGGGAGGAGGCGGCGATCGATAATTAATTAAGCACGATTGCGGAGGAACGACAAAATGTCACGTTTCATCGAAAGTTTCCGCGGCAAGCCCCGGCAAGAATATCGTTTCGGCGGTAGTTGCGGAAACTTCTCAAGTAACGTACAATGAGTGCTCTGCAAACAGTGTCTCGGGAGGAGAGATGGCGTTTATCTTTCATTCGTACGTATCTTGTGCGCGGAAGGCCCGCTCTCATTAATGTGTAATAGCGTAATCCCGTGTCGTGGAGGCGCGACTCGCGAGGACCACCGCCATCATCGATAAAACGAAACTTTGTTCCTTCGCTTAATTGAAAATCTTTCGATCGAGCCGCGATTCCGTGGATTCCAATCTGAATTATTTGATCGCCTCGCGCTCGAACGTGACGAATCGAGCGGTGTATCTCTCCTCCTCCTCCTCTTCTTCCTCGAAAGTTTCGCACGTTCTAGGAAATCTGGGGCGAAATTTCTCAATTTCTCGTGAAAATTTGAAAAGTTTCGGGAATTTTTTTTTTTTTTTCTATATTAAATTCTCTTCGAGATAATCAATATCGTATCGTAAATCGTCGTAACGAAAAATCACGAGTGATATAGGTGAAAAGTATGGTCACTCCGATCTCGAGCCAATTACCTCCTATATATATATATCGAAAACAAAACGAAAACGCTTCGATCGATCGAGCATTTACCATGCCGGCCGTCTTTCCGTCGTAAAACGTTTCTTCGTCGACTTAACCGTAGTAATAAGTGCGACAAGGGCTCAAAGGAGATCGCCCGTTCCGCATGCAAATATGATTAGTTCCGGAGCGTAACTTCATTTGCGTGTATTAAAAGCGCGGATAGTTCACTTTATGCAAACGACGACAGGATGGGCGTGGTGAGGGGGAGAAGAAGCGAAGAGAGAATGGAGAAAGGGTGGCGAACGAGGGCGGAGAATCTCGTCTCGGGGAGAAAGAAACGTCGCGTTGCCGAGGAGCGATAGAAAAATCAACCGGCCTGGAGGAAAGATAAAGCGTTTGCAGACCAGGCGCGAAGACGAGCCACGTTGATTTCTCGGATCCCGTTGATTCTCTTTACGAGCTGCGACCGAAGAGAAAAATGCTTCTTTCGAAGACGACACGTCTCGTTACGACATGGATATATTTCGTTGTCCGTTTAATCCATGTAACGATTGGTCGATCTTTGAAAAAGAGGAAAGCCACTGGTATAGTCACTTACGCCAGAGCCGTCCACGGAAGCCAGAGCTCCTTACGCGGCTTTGTCCTCTTCTACGCGCCGCAACTAGAAGCAGACAGATCCACTTTCAGCACAAGTTGTGAAGTTGATCGACGCGTTTCTTAGGAGTAAACGGGAAGAATTTCGCTCGCGAACGAGTCCAAATTCGCGCTATAATCGAATTTCACTTCGCTTCCCTATATATCACCGCGTTGATCAGCCAGTTAGCCGGTTATTATTGCCACGAAAGAAAATCGAACAGCTGCAACTATTCCACGACCGTCGGCTTCGAGTTAGCAATGTCTCACCGTTCCGTTGAACGCCATCTCGCCCCCCAAAACTATTTTCGCTA